ATATGGTAAAAATTTTATTTAGTACAACATAAGAGTGATATGTAAGGTCATCAAAATTAAATTTCAATTTCAACTTAATTATTTTCGTGAATTTACAGCACTCACCCACTGCCCACCTGGGGCTACTAAGGGTAAAAATGTCAATTACGTAAAAAACACCAAAGTACCAATACTTCCGAACGGAAATAAAACAAAAATTTAAATTAATTGTTTAAATAATTCAATAGTTATTTTTTTTATTGAAAATAAAATATTTTAAATTTGAATCACATAATATATAAATAAAATGAAATAAAAAATATAAAATAATTATTTTTATTACACAATCAAGATAAAAAAAAAAACACTTAATAAAATCGGAATTAATAGTTAAGGCAGATACGGCAGTCGGAATTAGGGGGTGGGTAAAAAAATTTTCTTAACTGAAAAAAATTAAAAATTAACGAAATCATAATTAGTGGATAAGGTTTAATTAAAATTTAATATAATTTCAAATACTAAAAATTAATAAAAAAAATCTAATAGGCCAAATCATCAACTTTTATTGGTACACCATCAATGCTATTTGGTTCAATATCACTGTCAAAGTGTCACATAGGATTTAACATCTAATAAATCCTTAAACAACACAAAATGGAGACCTCACATACTCATTTAGTGAATTGAATGAGGTTCATATTCTTGGATATAGTAGCTTTCACAAGTTGGCATCGTTGATAAAAGTAAAAAAAAAAAAAAAGTTCTTATCCCTTCTTAGTAAATTTTGAAAAGTTTGTGTCCTCATTGGTCACTTGTCACTTAACCTTTTTGCCGAAAAGAAATTTACATTTGACCAAAGTTCTTCAGTCACTCACGGGATATTTCGGCCGGCCCGTTACCTACCTGTGGAGCGGACGTGTGTACGTTGCGATGAACCTTTCCTTTTGAATGGGCCTGGTACGTGATGAATTACTGGGCCCGCTTAGCTTTTCAGCTACAGTGCATTGGATTACGTGGCCGTTCATG